AAAAAGGCTCTATTGAAGTCTCTAGTTTGGGGTCAAGCATGCTCTAGCTCGCTGAATCGTTATGGGGGCAGCCAACTGCTAAAGACGGCGATTCCTAAATCTTCCTAACCCTCCGGATAGAGCAGAATCAAGAATGAGAAAACATACCTCCCCACTGTTGGTAGATAATTCCTCGCGTGAAAGAGTTGCCAAATCAAATATAGCCACCTTTGAAGTCGTGGTAACAGGACACCTCGCATCAATCATGTCAACGCGGACGCGTTTCTCAAAATCCTACTGCACCGCAATCACAGACGCTCCTGTCAGATTCATCTGACACGAAGAATGAAACGGTAGTTAAGGGCTATTTTAACTTTCAGACAACAACAAGAGGCGGCTTTACAGAACCTCATTAAGTTTGATCGACCTGCCATAGGTTCGTTTTGTTCCACTCACTTTGACTTATTAAAACACCTTTAGCGGTTTTAAAGGCAAGAAAGGACGTTAATGACGATTTCATAGCAAACGATACTATGCTAAACGTGGCGTTAAAAAATTGCCTGTTGTATTCCTGTCGAGCAGACTTATGCCTTTATGTGCAGACGCTCTTGGAAATCGCAAATAATCTCGAACGATTGTGCTATTATGGATTCGCCGTACACATAGACCGATTCATCTCTTGTACACCAACCCACAACGTATTGCGCGTCCATCGTGCATGCAAGATGAGGCATTCCACGTGACAGCCGAACGTTTACGGGCATGACTGTTAGCACACCACAACAGAGTTCGACACAGGCGGAAAGACGTACGGTCTTCTTTGAATTGTGTACACCACGTCTTTATTTAGAGGAGACTTAGTTCATCACACCACCTCACGTGCTGCTGTAAGCAAGCACTCACCACCACCGCTAGCTGTTGTTCTGATAAAGCGTGTCCAGCCCAGCAGATGTCATATGCGCGAGTCGTGAGTGTAAACTTGGAGGTCATGGCCACACACTATGGCGTGTGGTATCATTGAACTGTTCTTCAGTGGCTCTACTTTCGAGCCAGATGTTCCAGTTGGTAAAAATGCCACTCTCATTTTGCTAACATGTAGAGGTATCCATCAAAGTTGTACACAAATGGTGAAACACCCGAAGATATTAACGTTGGGAAGCTCATGCGTGTTCAGCAGAGTCTGTGTAGAGACACAAACGAGCAAATACGCAGATTG